ATATATATATATATATATATACCGTATTAAAAAAATAATGAAACAATGTATACATAAGTACGTAAATAGATTTAACGAACAATGCACTTTCTGCAAACATGTATTTTTTAATAATTATTCATTAATCAACACTGTTAAATATTTTTTCTCTTATTTACTTTTATCATGTTTTTATACTTATTTAATGTTATTATTTTATGTAATTCGAATTTAATACAATTTTTGTGAAAATAATACCTAAAATGTTTTATGGAAATTGAATAGATTTTTAGTTAGTACTTTTAAAATTAATGTTATAATTGAATGTAACAAATATAATAAAAAAACTGACACATTATCACAAATAAGAGAATATTTTAAAATAAATGTGTTGTAATTTATTCAATCCAAGATACTAATGTACTGTTAAAGTTGGTTTATTTATTGCATATTCCTTCTTTTCTATTATTCTCAAATATCAAAAAATATCAAATGTATATGACAGACAAAAGTTCCCATATTTGGTAAGCAAAAAAAATAAAATATAAAAATTATAGCAACGTATTTTCATAATTGTTACTTTATTAATATTATGTATTTTGTACTCGTGTTTATTTTTTATTTTATTAATCCCAATTTTGTTATAATATTTAATTATCGTCTTTCATTTGTTTTCGTGCAATTTTGTAGATAAATATATATCTAATCCGGACTTTTCTCAAATTTGATCTTTTACTATTAAATTTTCCCACTATGTGTACGTTTCTGTTTTGCTTATTAATTATTAGTTATTTGTACCCTATCGTGTATAACAATCAAAATATCTACACCAAACAGTCAATATAGATATAAGTAAAAACGTTTTACAGAACGTGCACGGTGTGCAATTATTGTAAAATGCTACTATACGGAAACCATAAATATATAATATATTTAAAAAAACATCAAAACATGAAAACAAAAAGAAAAGTTCAATGGACATGACAGCATTTCGAGAAAATTGCCAATTTGCACGTATAATGCAACTTGTGTCTTTACAACCATACAACCGTAATTACAATGAATGTTAAACAAGCATTTATTATCTTAACATAACACACTTTGAAAAGACGAAAACAGCTTATGCCTTTACATGAAAGCACAGCATAATGACCATTGCGCCTAGTGTAAACATTGTGGTCGATTTTGAAGCTTAGTTTTTTGAGTGACATAAGCACTTATTCAAACGACATCTAGATACGTGAGCAGTAAAACACGACACAAATACACAAGGAAAAGCCAGTGTGCCTAGATCATCAATAAGTACACAACGTTAAAGTAAAAGTAACAGTAAGCTTTATTAAAATTATTATACTTAAAATTCTTATTAAAATTATAATATTAACTTATGTTATCTCGTTTGTTTATTTCCTTGATACTTAGTTATTCGCCATTGCTATTACAACAGTAAGAATGTCTACATTAAACGACTGGGCGTTGAAATATTTTATGTCTGAACATTTTCAAGCAAAATGTACAATCTGTGCATACACTCTTACATATCGCGATGTGCAACCCGTCCGTGATCATTTCAACCAACAACATTCAAATATAAAACAAAAGTATGTTATTTGGACAGAGCATTTTAAAAGTAATAGCTATTCATACTGGAAATGCATTTATTGTTCGCAAACTTATTGGAAGATAACATTGATCAACAAATTAAATGGACATTTGCACTCTGTGCATAATATATGTCCATTAATAAAACTCCCATATTATATGGGCTCTATAGAGAAGCATATGAAACGGCGTGATGATAATAGCGCGCAGTGTATAATATGTGATCAGATTATAGAGTTTAGCCTTTCCTGTACTAAAAAAAAACACATGTTCAAATATCATATAAACATATGGATAAACGAAGAAGAGAATGCAAATAAACAATCAGAAATCAATATGTCTGGACTATCGATAAGTGCACGATAACTTTAAAGGCAAAAACAATGGTGAGCTCTATTTATATTATTACATTAAAAATTTTTACTATTCTTGATTTATTATATATACATATTTCTATATATTATGTGCATATCACAAATCAATTAACATGTCTTCCTAACAAATATTTAAATAATTTTCGTTATTGCATCCAGAACAAATTTTGATAACGTTTCTACATTCAAAAAGATACTACGGTTCTACGGTTCTACATACGATCACAGCGAAAACAGCAATCTCGACTTTGATGAATTAAATGATTTAAAATATCTGAGGAAAACTGCCAATATATCTATGACATACATATATGTAATCAACATGTTGCTTATTATATAACATATCATACAATTATATACTATATTTATATGTATAAATATATGTATCATTTCTATTATTTTTTTTATATATATAAAATTTTTATATATAAAATTTTTATAAAAAATAATAGCAATGTATATATAAGAACACATTATATTTTATATAATATAATAATTACATAATTACATATGTGTATAGATTTGGTTTTATGACGTAAATCGGTTTAACAAACAATGCACTTTATGCAAACATGTATAACTTAATAACTTAATAATATTCATTAATCAACACTTTCAAATATTTAACTCTCATTTGATTTTATCATGTTTTTATACTTATTTACTTTCATTATTTTGTTACTTTTAGTGTAATTTAACTTTGACATAATAATTTTGGTGGAGATAATATCTAAAATGTATTATGCAAATATTAATTAATTTAGATTTTTAGTTAGTGATTTAGCTACAACTTTTTAAATTATTGTATTATTTTAATGTAACAAATATAATAGAAAACTGACACGTTATCACTAATAAGAAAGCATTTTAAAATGACTGTGTTGTGATTTATACAGTCCAATATGCAATTTTGCTATCAAATCCAGTTCATTTTTTCCGTGTATTTCCGCTTTCTTCGTTCTAATAATATCGAAAAGCATAAATTGTAACTGACTGCGAAAGTTCCTAAATTTGTTAAGGGAAAAATATGTAATACAAAAATTTTACCTATGTATAATATTTTCAAAATTATTACTTTAATAATCGACATGTACTCATGTTTATTTTATATTTTATTAATGCCAATTTTGTTACAATATTTCATTATCGTCTTTCATGTGTTTTGGTGCAATTTTGTATATAAACATTATACCTCTAGCCCGGACTTTCTAAAAATTTGCTATTAAACTTTTCTACGTCCCTGCTTTGCTTACTAATTATTAAGTAGTTACACACAATCGTGTAAAACGGTCAAAATATCTACATCAGACAGTCAATATAGATATAAGTAAAAACATTTTACAGAAAGTGCATCGTGTGCAATTATTGTTAAATGCTACGAAATCGGTCAATATATATTTGAGAAAAAAACATCAAAACATAAAAACAAAAAGAAAAGTTCAATGGACATGACAATATTACGAAAAAATTGTCAATTCACACGTGTAATGCAATTAATGCCCTTTCAATCGAACAAGCGTAATTACGATGAACATTAAACAGATATTTAATATCTTAACATTATACATTTAAAAAAAAGAGAGCACAACTTATATATACCTTTATATGAAAGCATATTACACAGCGTATTGACCATTGCGCGTTGTGTAAACAGTGTGGTCTGTTCTTAAAACTTAGCTTTTCGAGTGACCTAACGAGCACGTATTCAAACGACATCTAGGTATGTGAGCAGTGGAACAACACAAATACACAAAGAGAAGTCAATGTGCCTACGCCATCAATAAGTACACAAAGTTAAAATAAAAGTAACGGTAAGCTTTATTAATACTATTTTATTAAAAATTCTTATTAATATTATTACTTAAACTTACGTTGTTTCGTTTCTTTTTATTTTAATACTTAGTTATTCGCTATTGCTATGGCAACAGTCAGAATGTCTACATCGAACAATTGGGAGTTGAAATATTTTAAAAAGATTGAGAATTTTCAAGCAAAATGTATACTCTGTGCATATACTTTTACGTACTGTGATATGGAACCTGCAAATTATCATTTCGACCAACAACATCCAAATGTAGAAAGAGTGAAAGTATCTTGGTTGCAGCAGCATTTCAACAATTTTAGCAATTCACGCTGGCAATGCAATTCTTGTCCTACAACTTATTCGAAAGAAACTTCGAAGAATAAATTACGTAAACATCTACGAAATATACATAACATATTTCTAGCAAAAAAAGGCCTATTTTATATGGGTATTATACAGGAGCATATTAAACAGCATGATGATTATAGTGCGCAGTGTAAGAAATGTAGTCAAATAATAGAGTTTAGCCTTTCTTGTGTCCTAAAAAACCACATATTCACAAATCATTACAAAGTATGGGAAGAAGAAAATGCAAACAAAAGAAGAGAAATCAGTATGCCTTGGCCATCGACAAGTACAAGATAACTTTAAAGGCAAAAACAATGGTAATTTTTATAAATATTATTACATAAAAAATTTTTACATTTCTTGATTCATGCTCTATATATACATACTTCTATATATTATGTGCATACTACAAATCAAACAAATAACATATTTCTACTAATACAATGCTATACTACAAATCAAACAAATAATATATTTCTACTAATAAATATTGAAAAAATTTTCGTTGGTTTATCCAGAATATATTTTGATGACGTTTCTATATTCAAAAATGATGCTATGGTTCGACGGTCCTACATACGACGAGCAGAAACAACAATCTTGACTATAACGATTTATATGATTTAAAATATCTGAAAAAAACTGCCAACATATCTATGACATATATATATAATCAGCATGTTGATTATTATATAACGTATCGTAAAATTATATATTAAATACATATGTATAAATATATATATCATTTCTATTACTTTTTATATATATACAAAAAATAATAACGATGTATATATAAGTACACATTATATTTTATATAATAATTACATATGTGCATAGAAATATTATAACGTAAATTGATTTAACGAACAATGCACTTTCTGCAAATATGTATAAAGTAATAACTATTCATTAATCAACACTGTCAAATATTTGAATCTCATTTAATTTTATTATGTTTTTATACTTATTTACTCTCATTATTTTATATAATTTAAATTTGACATAATAATTTTTGTAAAGACAATATCTAAAATGTATTATGCAAATTAAAATTGATTTCGATTTTTAGGTAGTATAGATTTATAAATTATTGTATTCATTGAATGTAACAAATATAATAGGAAACTGACACATAATTATTAATAGAAAAGCATTTTAAAATAAATGTGTTGTGATTTATTTAATCCAATATATGCTATTTTACTGTCAAATACGGTTTATTTATTCCACGTATTTTTTCTTTCTTATCGTTCTAATAATACCGAAAAGTATTAATTGCAAATGATATTAAATGCTCCTATATTTGATAAGCAGAAAATATGCAATGCAAAAATTATAGCAATGTATAATATTTTCAAAATAGTTACTTTATTAATGTACTTGTACTCATGTCTATTTTTTATTTTATTAATACCAATTTTGTTATAATATTTCATTATCGACTTTCTATTTGTTTTCTTTCAGATTTTGTACATAAATACCATATATCTAATCCAGAATTTCTTGAAATTCGATGTTTTACCATCAAATTTTTCCACGTCTCTGTTTAGCTTACTAATTATTAGTTATTCGCACTCAATCGAGTAAAACAAACCGAATATCTACACCAAACAGTCAATATAGATATTAATAAAAACATTTTACAGAATGTGTCGTGTGCAATTATTGTAAAATGCTACCATACAAAATCCGTCAATACATATTTAAAAAAAAAACGTTGAAACAAAAAAACAAAAAAAAGGTTCAATGGTTGTGGCAGCATTTCTAAAAAATTGCCGATTCACACGTGTAATGCAATTCCTCTCCTTACAATCGTACAATCGTAATTACAAAAAACATTAAGCAGATATTTATTATCTTAACATAACACACTTTCAAAAAACGAGAACCTTAGCTTATGCCTTTATATAAAAGCACAGCATAATGACTGTTGCGCGTAGGGTAAAGAGTGTGGTCGGTTCTTAAGCTTAGCTTTTCGAGTGACCTAATAAGTATATATTCAAACGACGACATCTAGATACGTGAGCAGTCGAACAAAATACACAAGGAGAAGCCAGTGTGCCTAGATCATCAATAAATACACAACGTTAAAGTAAAAGTAACGGCAAGCTTTATTAATACTATTATATTCAAAATTCTTATTAATATTATAATATTAATTTATGTTATCTTGTTTGCTTTTTTTCCTTGATACTTAGTTATTTGCTATTGCTATTGCTATTGCAACAGTCAGAATGTCTACATCAAACAATTGGGAGATGAAATATTTTGAAAAGTCTGAGAATTTTCGAGCAAAATGTATAGTTTGTGGAGATACATTTACGTATTGTAATATGGATCCAGCAAAATATCATTTCGACCAAAAACATCCAAATACGGAACAAGAGACAGTTATTTGGAAACAGCTGTATTTTAAAAGTTATAGCAATTCACACTGGCAATGCACTTATTGTCCGCAAATTTATTTGAAGACAACATCGTCCTTCATATTATATGAACATTTGCAATTTGTGCATATTAAATGTCCAATAATAAAATTCCCATGTTATATGGGCTATATAATGGAGCATATTAAACAGCGTGATGATTATAGCGCGCAGTGTAACAAATGTGGTCAGATTATACAGTTTTGCATGTCCCCTCAAATAGATGACCACTTATTCACACGTCATTTCAGCATATGGATAAACGAAGAACTAAATGCAAATAAACAATCAGAAATCAATATGCCTGGGCCATCGACAAGTGCATGATAACATTAAAGGCAAAAACAATGGTAAGCTCTATTATTACTATTACATTAAAAATTTTTATTTTCTTTGATTTATTATATATACATATTTCTATATATTATGTGCATATCACAAATCAAATAATTAACATGTCTTTCTAACAAGTATTTAAAAAAATTTTAGTTGCTGTATCCAGAACAAACTTTGATGATGTTTCTACATTCAAAAAGATACTACGGTTCTACGGTTCTACATACGACCAGCGGAAGCAACAATCTCGACTTTGACGAATTAATTGATTTGAAATATCTGAGAAAAACCAATAAATCTATGACATATATATAATCAATATGTTGTATTATATAATATTTTGTACAATTATATACTATATTTATATGTATAAATATATATATCATTTCGATTACTTTATATATATATGTATATATATAAAAATAGTAGCGATGTATATATAAGTACACATTATATTTTATATAATAATTGCATAATTATATATGTGTATAAATTTGGATTTATGACGTAAATCGGTTTAACGAACAATGCACTTTATGCTAACATGTATAACTTAATAACTTAATAATATTCATTAATCAACACTTTCAAATATTTGACTCTCATTTAATTTTATTACGTTTTTATACTTATTTATTTGCATTATTTTAAAACTTTTTATGTAATTTAAATTTGACATAATAATTTTGATGGAGATAATACTTAAAATGTATTATGCAAATTAAAATTAATTTAGATTTTTAGTTAGTGATTTAACCCTTAGTCCCGACGGTTCTTTTCGGCACCTTTAATCCCGACTCATGGGTCGTTTGCGTCTTTGCGTTATTTGGATCAGTAAAAACGTTTTAAAAAATCTAAAAAAATTCATGGAGCTTCTTTCAACCTTCAACTTAAAGTCCCAATCATAATATTACGATAAAAATTATTTTTTTAGGTAGAGGATATGGCGCGTTCCGTAGCCGTTTTCAAAAATGACAGCACTTTGAAATTTCGCTTAGGTCGAAAACGACCCATGAGTCGGGACTAAGGGTTAATTACAACTTTTTAAATTATTCTATTATTTTTATGTAACAAATATAATAGAAAACTGACACATTACCATTAACAAGAAAGTATTTTAAAATAAATATGTTGTGAGTTAGTCAATCCAATGTGCTATTTTACTATCAAGTCCGGTTCATTTTCTTCAGGTATTTCCGCTTTCTTCGTTCAAATAATATCAAAAAACATTAATTGTAATTGATTGTAAAAGATCCTAAATTTTATGAGCAAATAATATGTAATACAAAAAATTTAGCTATGTATAATATTTTCAAAATTATTACTATATTAATGAACTTGTGCTCATGTTTATTTTTTATTTTATTAATGCGAGTTTTAATACATTTCATTATTGACTTTCATTTGTTTCCGTGCAATTTTGTACAAAAATACTATATATCTAATCCGGACCTTCTTCAAATTTGATATTTTGCCATCAAATTTTTCCACGTCTCTGTTTTGCTTACTAATTATTAGTTATTCGCACTCAATCGAGTAAAACAATCCGAATATCTACACCAAACAATCAATATAGACATAAGTAGAAACATTTTACAAAATATGTCGTGTGCAATTATTGTAAAATGTTACTATACAAAATCCGTTAATACAAATTTCAGAAAAAAACGCCAAAACATAAAAACAAAAAAAAGGTTTAATGGATGTGACAGCATTTCGAAGAAATTGCCAGTTCACACGTGTAATGCAATTTCTGTCCTTACAATCATACAAGTATAGTTACAATGAACATTAAGCAGACATTTATTATCTTAACATAACACACTTTCAAAAAGACGAAAACACAGCTTATGTTTTACATGAAAGCACAGCATAATGAACTGTTGCGCGTAGAGT